CATTTTTTGATTATTTTTCTTTATCATCTAAATATAGGCTACATGTATATTGTAGTCTGTAGGCAAGTATGAGAACTGTCTGAAGTATGACAAGCTCTACTTGCCTGCTTTGTGACCACCACCTCCCCAAGAGATAGCCTGTAAGTAGTGCGGAGGGTTGACTCAGTTGCTGTATGTTTTGTGGATGTGAGGTTCATACTCAGAAAAGTTGGCTCTGGCTGTGTTTTCAGACTTGTTGTCTGTACAAGTCACATATAATCTTGAAAGTATCTTTAGGATGACTCATTAAGGTAGAGTGTAAAAATACTCTAGGATGCTTTCCCATTGTTATTTATGAAAAAGAACTAAATTAAAGCTGTTTAAAAATGTCTTTGAGAAAAAACAACGAAGAACCTCCTAGCAGAAGCTTGCCAGTTCATCTCTGCCTATCTATTTTATGTGAGAGAGGGCTGATCAATGGCTTCCTGCATGCACATTTGGGAATTCTCCTTTTCCTTTAAAATATGTTCTTTGCTTCAAATGCTGATGTTAATTTTCAGCATATGAGAACCATTAGCAATATTGAAGCTGGACATAAGGCTTGACTTGTAAAATCACTTTAGAATGTCTCATCTGTTTTTTTACCCTAGTGTTAACACCTGGTTCAGTTTAGCACCAGCACAGAAGTTTAGGACATATATAGCTGTTAATTTTAAAAACATCTGAGATTTTTTTGATGTGTGTATGCATGTATATGTGCATGTGCGAATGGCTGGATCTCTGGCATTTTTAAGTTTGATTGAAAAAACCCTCTGTGAATCACACCCAAAGTGTGTACTGACCTGGGCAAATAACAGGTTTATGGCAGGAGGCAGAAGAATTCTTTTGAGTGGACTGGAAATGATCATTTTATTGTTAGGGGTTTTTTTTTGTGTCTCTTCAGCCTTCCATTTCTGAAGAACTGATAGCTGACTGATTCCTTCCCCTCCTGCCCTCCAGCCCATCCATTTGTTGCATAATGAATAAGATAGCCTGCTCTGCTGGGATGTGTGAAATGGGCAGGCATTGCAAATTGAAGAAAGCGAGTTCCCTGAGTCTGAGACCCTGCTGCTTGAAAATAAAAATGTCAATTGTATTGGAATTTTGAGAAATTACTTCGTTGGGTAACCTGCTGCCTTTTAGTGAGAGCAGAGTTTGCAGCTCTGCTGAAGACTGATGAGTGCAGTTGGAGAGCTTCCCTTATTATGCCCATTAGCAGGATTGGACTAATCTGCTGGATGTAACCTCAAGGTAAACTGTGAGTGAAGCAGGAGGCAAGGCTAATAAGGCATTTTGTAGTTTCCTTTATCCCAAAGACTTTCCTGGAGCCAACAATTAATATTATTTCGTATCTGCAGAGAGTGAGGGTGGCTGCCAGCATAGAATGGGAGGCTTTACTCGGGACACTGTCACTACCAGCCAGGCTGTGAGGAGGGGTTGCTTTCAGAATTGCTGCACAAATTGGCAGCTAAGCTTGGTTAACAGCTTGGTTATTTATTAATTAAAGAAAAAACAGAGCAGGAGCAGGGCAGCTGGGGTCAGCCCCAGACTCGGGCATTGGGGCATCTTCCTGGGGACAAGGACAGGATCAAATGTGAGCCCAGTTTAGCTAGACCCTTGGCAGGGTAAGACCTGGGGAGCCGGAGACCAGCCCTGCTGTGGTGTCACTGGGGTAGGGGCTGATGGCCCTGGGGGACTGGCATGGGGCCCTGGGACTGTGGGCAGTGTGGGGGAGCCTCCGGAGTGGGGTCAGGCTGTCAAGGCTCATTAGTGCCCTCAGGGTCCTGACATGAGCAATTTAGCACTATTTATTTTAATTCTTTTGTTTTATTGGCTACAGTGCTTGTATTTCTTTCCTCTTCACAGAGATAAACATTTCACTTCGTGTTTTTCTTGCCACTGCATTTGGACAGCCAGGCTAGGGGTGCAGATGGGCACAGCCTGACTGTTGGTGCATGGGCTGGACTCAGCCCACAGACTATTTCTGTCTGACCTCGGTCTTACTGTTGCTGAGACTTTGTTCACTTTTATTGAGAGTTAAATGATCCAGAGCTGCCTGGCTGTAGTATCTCAGGTGCTCATATTCCTGCATCCTCCTGCACAGTCAGGCCTAATGTTGGCTTTGTATGTTTTTTTCATACATTTTATAATGTGAAACAGAGTAGTTGGTGAATGTTAACAATCAACCTGTGTGATTGTTAACATTCTTTGCTGTGGGACATCTAGCATTGCTCTTGTATTAGGCTTTTCTAATATCCCAAAGCTTTAGCTAAACTTTTTCTTTTAAATATTTAATGAAAAATAAACATGGAAAAAGATTTTTATTTAAAATTTGGTTTACAGAAAATACAACATTTGACCTGAGTAAGCTGAAACTGACATCTTCTGTATTTTTCATACTGACTGTCAGGTACTAGAATTTGTTGCATTTACATGCACAAGAAAGCAGGAGTATTTCAGAATTGCCTGCTGAAATTTGTAGCCAAATACAGGGTGATCAATATTGTATCTTCAGGGCTTCCTTTTCACCTTTTGTTGTGTGTGGATTTTTTTTTTTCCTCATTTGTTTCAATTTTTAATATGAACAGGTTTGAACAGAAAAGGATCAAGGTTGCATCAAATTTGTTGCTAAGGCTGTGAATAAAGTTTGACCGAATTAATGTCTTTGGAATGTACAGCAAGTTTCTTTATGATATGTAGAAAAGCAGTTAACTTTTGGTGGGGAATAGTCCCTATATGAGTATGTGCTGCTTGAAAACTATTGGATTTGAGAGAGGGCTGGTCTCTTTTCTTGATAAGTGTATCAATGTTGTGTAGAGTTATTTTATACATGTGTAGTGATAGCCACAAGTGGGATATTTTTGTGGCTTTTTTTTTTATTCTTTTGTGTGTGTATGTGTAGGGTTTTTTGTTTGTTTTGGTTTTTTTAAGTGGTTACATGGCTTCAAGTGTTGGAAATGGCCACATTTGCAAAAGGCATAGTAAAAGCTACCATTTCCTGGGAACAACCTGTGCACCCTCTAGGCTCTTTGTAGCATAATGCTCTGCCTCAGGGGAGGGCAGCTGTGCTGGCAATATTGTTGCCACTTGTTTTCTTACTATTTCCCCAAGAAAAAAACTGATCGCAGTTCAGGGTTTCAAGTGTAAGCCCTGACATCTGATAGCTATTTCTTGCCTTTGGGAGCCTGTAGTCTAGTATATTATGTTTTTCTCAGAGAAAGGACTCTTTCTAGCCTAACACCTGCTTTATTTTTGCCGAATTCCTAGTTTTCTGATAGTGGTTCTGAGAGCGATACTACAAACTGAAATCACAAACAGAAGAATTAGGTTACAGGAAAGGACTACATGGAAGGACAAGATAAATAATGTGAAAACAAAGGTCTTGTTTTCTTCCAGTGTTCTTTTGTGACTGGACTAAAATGAGAAAAATATGTGCAGGGTTGCAAAAACAAATACAAGCAACCTGATTCCCTGCATAAGTAGAAGTCAAAATGAAAATTTTCAAGTATTCTAGAAAGCATCATCATATCTTTAAAGGATTTAAGCTGACCTCTCCATAACCTCCATATGCTCAGAGACAAAAGGACATGCTGAGAGGAAGCGTGTCTGAAAGCATTACAGCAGTGTGCTCTGGACAATGGGAATGCTGAGCTGCATGGTATTTGGAATATTTGCATGGAGATTCTGTGGCATAATATATCAGTGTTTGAGCATTTTTCTTTACTGAGCAAGACAACATTCCTGAAACTAATACTATTTAAAAAAAGAGATTTTGATACAGATACCAAGGGAATGGAGGATGTGAGGAGAGTCTTGGAGTATGAATTAGAGTAGTGCATTTTAAATGCAGGCTTGAGCTTTGTGTGTTTCTTTTTTTTCTTCCTCATCTGAACTGAAAAATTGTTAGTTATTGGAGAAGGCTGATAGAGGGTATGAGTAAAGCATTGGATGTAAACCATCTCTCTTGTTTAGTATTTTGGATAGAAGAGTCTTAAGGTGGCTGGATTCTTAATTACCCTAATAAAATACATTTTAAATGAGTTAAGCTCAGCAGTAACAACAATGCATCTTTAAATAATTGCTTAAATACAAGTAACTAATTAAATTCTAGTATTTTTTTCTCTAAGCAGGTCTCATACCTTCTCCCACCGCATAAATTTTAAATGCAAATAATTGGACTTGTACAAATACTATAGGAGACAGAATTTTACAGAACTGAATTAGACGTGGAGACTGCTAATGGCTGGCACCAGACCTTGTCAGGGTGGTTGAAAACATAAGTGCTGAAAGCGGGAGCATTTTTTTCCCCTAATCAAGCTGACAGACTTGAATTCATAAACTAATACAATGTAAAAATCTTATGTCCTTAATTGTAAATACAAGAAATTTAAAGAGAAGGTGTATTTTAATCTGTAAAATAGTCTGTTGTCCGTCTCCAGCGAGGTGTTAGCAGAAAATGTTGTCAGTCAAAATATGTTCAAGGCAGTTGTGGAGTGCCCTGTACAGAACCAGAGAATCGCATGCTCCTACTGACTTTTGTATTTATTGTTCATCCATGTCAAAAAGATTCATTCCAACATCTAAATTAAAATTTCAGTATAAAAGGCCAGTTGGGGTTTTAGTTCTGACTTACTGGAGGATCCATTGTTTCAACAGTAACGTTTGTCAGTTTTTCGTATTTCTTTTACGTTTTAATTATAGCTCATCAAATCTTAACTGATTACTCCAGAGTTAGAAGAATATCACTGAAGGGTGTTTTAATTTAATGGAAACAGCATAGCATCTGTATATAATATTTTAAAAGCCAATTTATATGGAAATTTTGCTCTAGCATGAAGTCAATAGAAATGTATTTTTTGAGGACCTCCTGTAAAAATTTAAAACTTGAATTAAAGCAGCACCAAAGCGATGACACTCCTTCTTGTGGTAGCAATGTGATTGCATTTGCAGTCTTTCATTTGTACCCTTTTCCTTCTGTTGAAATGAAGTTTTTATTTGTCTTTTCTAGCCGAGCTATCAAGACAAACCAGGACCTTCTGCCCGAGACGCCATGGATCCATATCTTCTACAATGACTTTTGGGGGACATTGCTTACTCACAGTGGGAGCCACAAGTCCTACAGACCTCTCTGCACGCTTTCCTTCCGCATTAACCATGCTGTTGGAGGAATGGACCCATGGGGCTACCACCTTGTAAACGTTCTATTACATGCTGCAGTCACAGGCCTTTTCACAAACTTCTCCAGGATCCTGTTTGGGGATGGGTACTGGACCTTGATAGCAGGCCTGTTGTTTGCATCTCATCCCATCCACACGGAAGCCGTGGCAGGGATCGTAGGGAGGGCAGACATTGGAGCCTGCCTCTTCTTTCTGCTTTCCCTGATGTGTTACGTGAAGCACTGCTCTACCAGAGGTTCCTCGGCAAGTACTTGGGGCTGGATCTTGGGAGCAGTGCTGTGTGCAGGATGCAGCATGCTGTGGAAGGAGCAAGGAGTGACTGTTCTGGCCATTTCCGCTGTGTACGATATCTTTGTATTTCATCGATTAAAAATGCATCAGATCATTTCTGCTTTATACAAGGTGAGTCTTCTTTGCTATAAGCTATTTGTAAGGCACCAGTCACTGTTAGAGGTGCTAAATGAGTTTTCAAGTACACAATAATTCTTAGCAGTTTAGTTAACTCCTCCAAAAAAGCACAGATGTCTAATGCTGGAAGATCACTTAAAGAAGTTTATAGTATGGGCTATTTACATTTTGCTTTAACAGTATATTATTAGCCATTTCTTTTACTGGACTCTGGGGATATTTTTCTTTTCAGTTACTTTCCTTCCTTACAGAAGCGCCCTCATTCTGTTTACTGCTGAGCACTGGATATATGAGTCAAGTACTGGATGTCTGACTGCCTTTTGCAAAGAATTCATTCATGCTCTTATCCTCTTGTATCTTGCAAACTCAGCTTAGTTTGGTCAGGCATGCAAGTGTGGCAGCTGATATCATCTACAGGCACCCTGAGGCAAAGATAGAGCTCTTATTGTTCTAGTTTAATGGAGATGCATAGGACCGGGGTGTATGCCTTTGGCATGTGTTTTTTCTTCCCCTAGTAGGAGCTATGACTTTAAATATATTATTGTCTTAACAAAATAACTATTTCTTATTTTTCAACTTCCTGCCCAAGCTCACCAAAACCCCCTAGCTTCCCTTTCCCAAAACTGCATGTATTTTAGTGGTAGCCAGAAACCCCAGCTAATATCAAGACTCTTACATCAGTTGCTGTACAAATGAGTAAGCTGAGTACATGCAATTTTCTTTTCAGCGAAATGGCTTTCTTTCAGAAAAATACTGACTTAACAAAGGGAAAATGTTTCATGTGGACATGTGTTGTCACATTTTTCAATGAGATATAACCAAGAAAAGCAGTAAACCAAAATACGGCTTTGCAATCTATCTCAAGCACTATTACTTTAAAGTTTTGGTTTCTCATCCAGATGAATTGAAAAGATGTTGTAGATTTTGATTAAACAGTGATGATTTCTGTGTGTTTAGAATATACAGCTGTAGTATAAAAGGAAAATAGTAGAGTGAATAAAACCCTCTAGTCACTGGTAGCTTCTTAAACTGCTATGTTCTGTTGCCTTAGTTATCATGCTTTTTTGACAAAATTGAAAAGGAAAGAATAATTTCTTTTATATATATGTTTATTTTTTTTAACTTACGTATATTGAAGTATACAAGACCTCTGTTGAATGTCAGTAGCCAAATACTGTATGGTACGTTATGCACCTAATGCTGAGCTGAAACAAACAGTAAACTAATTAAGTTTGGGAGTTTTTTTAAAGTGCATCTGTAACAGCAAGCTTTATACTGAAAGGTACAGGATAAAATTTTGTAAAGTGCCTCAAGGAGTTAATAATTCAAGTGTTAGCCTATCCTAGAGAATTAAGCAGTGGTAAAACGATGCATAGAATCATAGAATGTTAAGGGGTTGCAATGTACTTTGAACGTCCTCTAGTTCCAACCCTCTGCCATGGGCAGGGACACCTCCCACTAGACCAGGTTGGTCAAAGCCTTATCTACCCTGTCTTTGAACACTGCTGGGGTTGGGGCATCCACAACCTCTGAGCAACCTGTTTCAGTGCCTTACCACACTTGCAGTAAAATGCTTCTTCCTAATATCTAATCTAAATTTTCCCTCTTTGAAATTAGGCCCATTACTTCTTGTCCTATCACTGCAATTCCTAACAAAAAGTCTCTCTCTGGCTTCCCTGTAGGCCCCCTTCAGATACTGGAAAGTTGCTATGAGATCTTCATGCAACCTTTTCTTCTCCAGGCTGAACAACCCCAACTTTCTCAGCCTGTCTGTGTAGGGGAAGTACTCAAGTCCTTTTACCAGCTTCATGGTCCTCCTCTGGACTTGCTCCAACAGTTCTATGCCCTTCTTATGTTGGGGACACCCCAGGTGAACTCTCACGAGAACAGAGTAGAGGGGTAGAATCACCTCCTTCGACCTACTGGCCATACTTCTTTTGATACAGCCCAGGATTCAGTTGGCTTTGGAGGCTGTGAGTGTGCACTGCTGGCTCATGTTGAGTTTTTCATCAACTGTCACCCCCAAGTCCTTCTCTGCAGGGCTGCTCTCCATGACTTCTTTACTCAGCCTATAGGTGTGTCTGGGATTGCTGTGACCCAAGTGTAGGAGCGCTCACTTTGCTTTGTTGAACTTCATGAGGTTGGCATCAGCCCAGCTCTCAAGCCTGTCAAGGTCCCTCTGGATGGCATTCCTTCCCTTTAGCATGTCAACTACTCCACACAGCTTGGTGTCATCAAGTGAATTTGCTGAGGGTGCACTCAATCCCCCTGCCCATGTTGCTGACACATATGTTGAACAATATTTGCCCCAGTAGTGACCCCTGAGGGAACACCACTCATCGCTGTCTCCACGCAATAGCATATAAGTGCAATTTGAGTTGACTGGCAGGGCTTTTGAACAAGGCAGCTACAGAGCAGGGCCCCCAGCAGAGCAGATGAATATTGCCCTTTATTTAGAAGTTATTCTTGAGGGAACTTAAAAATGTATATAGTAGCTACTTATTAAACTATCCAGCTCTTTTCTCTGTTATCTGTGTGTTGGTTATTCAGTAAAACTTGGCTGCTGTTGTTTTTCTTTTTGCCAAGTCTTGTATGCCTGTCTATCTGTGATGCTCTCACTCTGGCTGGAAATGTTGTCAGTCTGGACTCCATTTAATTTGGTCAGCTCTATTTTATTCTGTCTGTCTGACAAGAACATATTCGCTGTCTTTAGGTCAGCAGATTTTGATGGAACTGTATTTATTGTGGTCATGAGTTGTCTGAAATAAGAGCAGTTAAAAAAGTGGTGTTCCACTGAGGCAAAGCATTCCTTGTGGAAGAAAATTAGATTTTAGTTTGATTTCTCAGTGTTTAAGACCTTGAGTCATTTCCAGTGTAAGTTGCATAGCAAGTACGTGGATTGAGTTTTCAGGCTTCATAGATATCAGATGATTGTACCTGTCAGCAGCTAGACTTGTGCAAGTTAAACCACCAAAAGTGTAGGGGTGAGAGGGAGGAACTTGAATATGGGAGAGAGCTATGATCAAAGTTGTAATTATAGAAATGCAAATTCAGAAGCCTAATTGTTTTGTACTTGCAATATTCAGCTTGAGAGCAGAACCATTAATCAACAGTATTCTCTCCAATTAATAGTACAAACAAAATAGTACTGTGCTGCTCTTTTTTCATTTTGTGGGGGTTTTCTTTAGCTTTTCTTTGTTTGCTTGGTCGATTTTGTTTTGTTTTGGTTTTTTTAAGTGGGAACGGAGCTGGGTAACAGCAGTTAAAAATGGGGCAAATGCATTTAAAGCTCATTTTTAATATAATGGTAATGATAAAGTATTTATTGCTCTGTGGTTTATGTATACAAACTGCCTAATAGAAATAACTAAACCAGATGTATGTTATACTAATGTTTCACTACTACAATGCAGTAACATTTTGCCAGATCGACGTATAGTTAGTATGGGGGAGTTTGTTATATCAAAATAAGGAAATGTCTCTTTTCCCATCACTTATTTGATTAAAATCTCCCTTTGGGATGTCTGTCTCACATGTGGAATTAGTTATTGGCATCTATAGCTTAACACGAACCACAAATTGGATTGCAAGATGTGTTATCTAGCCTTCTGTGCTATTATAACAGTATTGCTTTTGTAAAAAAGCAGTTTTATTGGAAGCCTATATTTTATTTAAGGCAATGATGTCAACCTGGGGCCTCCACGGATGACATGGTCAACCACCAAACCAAGTTTTATAAAACTCTACTTTCTTTTATGGTCTTGGAACAGCCTTTGTTGTGGGTCATATGTGTGATTACTGGGTATTAAGCTACTGGGTTTTGAGAATGCTCTAAACTTCAAGTGAGCCAGTTTCTGCGTTCTTTAGTCTTGAAGTTGCTACTTTTAGAACTATCGTGTTTTGGAAAGCAATGTCAGAATAAAATGCTGCTCTTGATTTAAATTTGCAGTTTATCCTTCTCTTTTGAGGAGCTCTAAAGCCTTAGTAATGTAGTAGTTGGTCTTGTTTATTTTTCGGGTTTTGAGAATGCTCTAAACTTCAAGTGAGCCAGTTTCTGCGTTCTTTAGTCTTGAAGTTGCTACTTTTAGAACTATCGTGTTTTGGAAAGCAATGTCAGAATAAAATGCTGCTCTTGATTTAAATTTGCAGTTTATCCTTCTCTTTTGAGGAGCTCTAAAGCCTTAGTAATGTAGTAGTTGGTCTTGTTTATTTTTCACTTCTTCTCCAAGTTTTGCCTTTTTGCGGTGGTGCTTCATCATTATTTAAAAACCTAACTTGATGGTTTATTTTCTGCTAATTTTCTACTAAGCAATTTTATTATGCTTGAACTTACCCACAGATCTTGATATTTTGGCAGATCTTGTCAGTAACCTATTCTAAGTTATTTTCCTTTTGGGTGGTTATGTTCCAGTCTTAGCCCCGTGTCTTTCAAATAGTGTTTACAGTGTTTAGACTGTTAGGTAGCAGCTGCTCTCTTGCAGGACAAACTTCATCCTTGGAGTCAGATATGTAGTAAATATGCTTTTCCTTGAGACTGCTTTTGTCCCAGTTAAAAATAATAAATAATTTATACCTTTAAAACACAACCTCTCACAGGTTCGTTTTGTCCAACATGAGCTGCATATTCAAGTGTACTAAGCTGTTTAATATTGCATTTGTGAGCTTGGTAACCTTTCACATTTAAAGAGCTGTGGAAAAGATTGGGGTTTCCGTTGCCAGCTGGGGCCCAGATTATTCCCTATCATCTCTCATTCTGCAGTGGTCAGCTGGGGGTTAATTTTCCTGACAACATTAAGGCTGTACAAAATTGTGGAAATGCTGAGACGAATGTGCCTGCACATACATTGCTCGTATTTGCGGATGAGCCAGCCTGATGCTTTTTTTTCACTCTGCTGGATGGCAACAGCATGAGGCCTGTGTAGTCTTGACCATTGTTCCCCCTCCCTCCAGCAGATATTTCATAGAGGAAAGAAGCTTTTTGTAATTTACTTATG